TGCAAATCACTCAGTCTGAAAGGACCAGCTGAATGCATGAAGTGAAAATATGATACATAGATCAGGTGCCAGAAAAAGGCTCTGTGGGATGTTGTTCCAGCTATTGTTGACGTATAGCACGCTATGATATTAAAGTGCCTTTGTGGGCTGATTTTCAGGGGCAGGATTATACAGGCAATGCTATGCATCTACTCATAGGCCATATTTAATCCACGTGGAGGTCTCTTTGTGTATAATCTCTCTGATGAAAGATCACTTAATGTCAGCCTTAACTGTGTACAAGTCCATGTCAGTGGCTTTAGATTGAAATCAGTGCAGTGACAGGAGGGGAATGTGCCAAGGCTGGAGTATTTGTAAAGCCTTCAGAAAATTACACCCACATTGTCTGGTTGAAGCTCACCAAATGTGAGATTTAGTTAGTTTCATTAGTTAAATAACCAACTTTTTTTTTTTTTTTTTAACAATAGACAAAACAAGACTCTAGAGTCTACTACTGCTAGAGCCCAAACAGTACTTGCCTTTTTTTAGGGGGGGTTGAGATGCCTAGTTGGCAAGCCCCTGACAACCTCTGGCTGCTAGAGAAAAATATTTATTTCCCAACTGGTATTTCCCACATTGATGGTGCAGGCTCTGCACCAAAACCATCCCTGGGATTAACCTGGTTGCTAGCAGATTGCTACAGTTGCTGACTTGTCTGCAACCACTTGGTAAATAATGTTTGCGAAAGCTGAAGCGTGACACAAACTGGAAACGGACTGTTTGACTTCAAAGCTTCTGAAATGTGTTGGTAGCAGCAGTAAGGTTTTTTTGTCGCACTTTTCAGTCTTATTACGACTCAGCAAGTAGCTGAAGGCTGTTTGGAGACAAGCTGTTGTTTTTCATGCTAACTTAGGTGACCACAATCTGCTAGTGAGTCCCTGCGTGAGTCATGACTGGTTCAGAATTCGCGGTCGTTCCACTGGGTCATGTAACCTTCAAATAGCTACCCCAAGTGCTTAGCAGGCAGTTTGAATGTGTGCTGATTAAACAGACTTCTTTTTTAACTTCTTAAAACAGCATCTCAAACCTATCTGCTGCTATATTTCTATGGCGCAGCTAGCATATGTTGCTAACTTTTAGAACTATTGTGAGGCTCCATGATCCGCCACTAATGTAAAAAAAGAAAAAAAGATGTCCGTTCAGCAGCTAGTGCCGCAATCACAACCAATATCACCTAGCAACTACCAGAACCCACTCACCTGTTAGGAATAACCATTTTTCCCTAGCAATCAGTAGTTTCCCGGGAGTTGCTGACCAGTCTCTAGCCCTGTGTGACTGAGGCCTTATGTATTTATATTTAAAAGGTAAAATGATGTGGCCATTGTTTCAGACAAAGTGCATCCTCTACTAACCAGCGACTAGTACTAATTTACTATTTACTAATTATTTTACCTTTGGCTATAGTTCACATTTAATGTGTGTATGGAAGTAAGAGTATGCTTGAGAAGCTGGATAACCATACATCTGACTCTGTATTTTCATGTACTACACAAACACTTTTCTCATGTATGTTTTATCCAAACTGTGAAGCAATTTGTGCACTTTAAAAATGTGCTAAACAAAAAAACATATTATTATTAAAGACTAATTAATCATCTTTAAAAGACCAATAAACTGGAAATCTAATGAGCAGAAGAACTGAAATGATCCTAACCTCTATCAGATGTAGGAATTTGATGATTACAGTTTGGTAAAATTATAGAGACACAAGAGGGGTTATAGAAGGCTTGGTTCGATTTTTTGTTTTCCTTTAATAAGTGAACCACAAGGCTGGAAACAAATTAAGCTGATATTGTCCTTTAACAGTGTCAGTGGCAGATGTTCGTGGTTTTGTGCTTACTAAATTAAATCTAGAGTATGGTGAAGGCTTTAAAACAGCTAAGATATTTTCTTATGGAGGAATGATGAATAATAAAAACATACAGAATACGTACAAAATAACCACACAGGAATACATCAAAGAGTGAAAGCAGGCACAAGCTGGAGAACCAAATTAAACAGATGAAATAAAAGACGTAGTGAAGCTGTTCGAGGGGTTGAGAGTGACGGTGTTTGACATTTTCAAACAGCTTCCCAAAACAGAACAACACTCATGCTGGTGGGTGGACATGCTTGTAAGTCATTTTTGCAAAAGCAGCATTGTCTGCGGGATGCTGACGTTCAGAGAAACTGCTGACGCAAAATGTTTGCACTAATAAAACCTCTCTGGCAGGAAAAAAAAACAAAACAAAACAAATTGCATAAATGATCAGATGACTGGAAGAGCTGATCGCAGCCATCCAGACAGGCTCCGGTGGCGTAAATGTCAGAAAGAAAACCCAAGTTTATCTACTCCTTCATCTGACTCTATGCCTCTCTGATCCGCCACGGGTCGTTCGAGGTCACAGAGTTGTCCATTCTGGTCATTTCTGGGTGTCATCACAAAAGGCTACGTGCAGCGAGTCTCACCAGCCAAAAGGGCCCTTGTATCCAAACAAAAAAAACAACCTTTGTTATGTAACACACTGATGCTGCTGCTGCTGCTGTCTTTGACAGTGATCGCGCAGGAGAAAACCAGAGGGGGGGGGGGGGGGGAAGCGATGCCAGGTGAAAATGACTTGGACAGAGGGTTGAAGGGAAGGGTGAAGAAAAAAGGGAAGAGGTGGTGTTGGATGATTCGCTGCTGCCCACGAGCTGCACCGTCACGATTTCTGTACTTTGTGTACTTTCATCTTGCTCTCCATTCACTGTTACACAGAGGCCACACAGCTTACAGCAGCATGACATCACTGACTACTCCCACCATCTCATTAAACCACATTGATGGAAGTGATGCTCCTGCTTCTCAGACTCTTACACATATGCATGCAGCTGCTCTCCTGCCCCTCTTTGGCTTGGTTTCATGTGCTTGATGTGTAGATGTTATTTCTAAAGCTCTTCCTGTAAGTCAAACCTGGCCAATTGCAGGCATAACACAATGTGCACAACTTTCGTCCGAGCAGGATCATCTTTCAAGGCCTGCAACTCTGACCCTCCTCTTCGATCCCTGGGTATCGAGCCCCCACAGAATCATTAGGGATGTGCGTGCGCACGCTGCAATGAAAATAGATCGCAAACAGTGGAAAACAAGGCTGTGCCTCGATATGGGGTTCCCGATCTTCATCTCCTCCGTATGAACTCTCGCGGACGTTATTTACTAGATTTCTGGGATTAACATGAGGCACCCCCCACCTGCAGGTGAGGCTCAGTCATGTGTGTCTCATCACCTGAGGTAACACCTAAGTAAAAACATGAGGGTTTACAGTGTGGATGTGTGTATGAATCAGGTCACAGGCAGTGGCGCACTTTATCTGGGGCATAACTTCAGCCACCACACAGAGCACAGATGGCGGGGATGCCTCGGCTCAGCAAGACTCTCTCACTCACTCACACACACAAACACAAACACACGCACGCACGCACGCGCGCACACACACATACACACCGCCTTTAAAGCTTTAAAATCCGCAGTGACTTTAGCAGGTGATTGTCGTCAGCATGTGATCACGTGAGCGTACATTACACGATAACCCGCATCGATCACTGCTGACGTGCACCGCTACGGCCGGGGGCGCGCGCACGGGGATGATGGCGCAGACGTGCAGCAGTGCCACAACAAAAACAGCATGTGTCCTAATAATAAATAAAATACTAGATACTGTAGTAGATACTGTAACCACAGAGAGCAACTCTTCAGCATCCCGTCCGCAAAGCAAACAGGAAGAACAAACCTGCAACAGTTACCTAATGCACGTAAACAACGCAAGACATCATAAACTTTTCTTTTATATTGTCATTTTACAGCACGTGGGTCTGCAGTTAAAAGTTGACTTGGTTAAAGGCGTTGAGCATAAATAGGTCGATGCTTGAAATGGGTTAAGAGAGCAGTGTGAAAACCATAAGTAACAAATGCACCGGAGATGAAAAATAACGCAGACGAAATCATCTTACCTTTGAAAGGAAGAAAATGCGGGTCTCCTCCACGTAGCCTAGAAAATGTGGCACGTCCTCGTTTTTCCTCGTGGCAGTGCCAATCCTAAAACCTCTTTCGCATTCCTTCCCAGGCAAATTTCCTCTCCTCTCTGGCCCTGGCAAGTCCTGCAGAGACGCAATGTTTTGACGCGCAACGATGCCCAGCAGAGTTTAGAAAGCCACAGAGAGCAGTGGAACTTCCAGCCGGAGCGAGAGCATTCCCTCCTATCTACTTCCGTGTTCGCAGTAAACCGTTTTGATTTTACAGACTGAATTTATAAATGACGGGGATTCTTTAAATATATAGTTTTGTTTAGATTTACTGTTATGTGCTTTAACAAAAGCGTTTTATAAGCCGCAACATGGAAAACTAGCTAAAAGGTATGCCGCATTTAGGGGAAAAACCTCCAACAGCATCCTTTCTTTTCTAAACACATTCACGGTTACTGTAAAAGTTAGATGTTCTACTTATTTGCAGTGCAATTAGTAACATCCAAATTGCAAAACTGGAAAACACAAACGCTGAAAAAACGGGAATCATCTTGAGTTGATACTCTTGGTCCCAAATCACACTTGTCCTTAAGGCTTGATGAATAAATGACAGGCTTATCGGCCAATCAGTGAACAGATGAAGCATAGCAACACCGTGTTGATTGGTCAAGAGTAGAAACGATGAACCAATGATCTTTCCGGATTCTAACGGGTTTTTTTTTTCTAAATGAATTCTCTAGAAAGCAGTTCAGCTACCTGCAAATATTGTTTAATGAAGCTGCCTCGAGCAGGACAACACAGCGAAGGCATCACCTGTTCTTGTGAAAAAGTAGGAAATTATTATTTCAACATGTCCGGCATCATTAACTTTTTGCGACAGTAAAAACTTCTGACGTCGTTTTAGTTTGCAGCGCCACCTCCTGCCAGTTACATAAACTGTGACATAACACAACCCTAAAAAACGACAAATACCACTTTTATATAATGATGTACATACAGTGTTTATTGATACAGATACAAAAAATTGCTCTCGGCAAATCAAATCTAAAGATGAGCCCAAAAAAGTTCAGTTCAACACACACAACAGCTTTAAACATGCAAAATAAAAGTACACTGAGGACAGCACAAGTAGTATAATCAGAAAAATCCCAGTACTTGTAATGTGATTGTTGGATCAAGTCTCTAAAAGAAATCTTCAAGAACATTTGTAAAAACAGTGTAAAACATCACACATAAGTGATTTAAAATGCCCCACAACAAACCTAACATTGTTTTGACTGCAAAAATCCCAAACAACGTACAGTACATTCAGCCAAAACCACATTCATTCGATTAGAGACCGCCACCGAGCATCATAACATTTCATATATTTGTATATTAAAGCAAGGAACTATGTGTAAACTACTTTCATTAACACATTTGAATTTTAAATGAGTGCAGTAAAGCGATCAGTCTGCATCACTGCTTATACTAGGCTGTAAAATATTTTAAATATACACATATGTCATATAAAGTTCAATGCTGATTGCAATCACACTGACACAGGTAAAAGAAACCAGATAAGGTTTCCTATTTTGTGCAAAATTCCTCATAAAACAGGCAGTGTATGCCTCTATTATTTTATCTGATCAAAAGGCTGATCAAAATAATAATAATGAGCCAAAACAATGAGAAAAAATAAAATATATATATATATATGAAACAAGTCGAAAATAACATGACATCATCGAGCTGCATCTGCTGGTGCTTGCACATTACCCCTAGCATGATGCAGTAATACTGCAAACTAACTTGAAAGCATCAAAAAGGATCGACTTTGCGCAAGTAAACCCTTACAGAAAGTGTCATGTCAAGGACCATGAATCTATTATGGCATCTGAGACTGATGAAACTTAAAAGCACAATATTTCAGTGGCATTTTTAGCTCTTTGTAAAAAAAAATTCAGTGGTTTCAATTAAGTGTGTGCTCCTAGCAGAAATATCATACTGTTATATGGGTATGTTTGTGCATGTGTGTGCAAGCGAACGCACCATGGATAATTCTAATAATACTACTACTACTAATAATAATGAGCCAGGATTTTTTGTGACTAAAAGAAAACATTCAGATTTCATCATTTATGCATCTAAAATATTGTAAATGCATGCAGTATATTTGTGTTATAATGGCAACAATTCTTATTAACTTTTTCGAAATATACTTCAGTCGTAACTTACCAACTTACTGTGAAGACATCGCATGACTGCACCGCCATCTGCTGCAGTCATTGCTGAGAGGATTGTAAACCAAATTACCCAAATACGTTTTCATTTTGGGTCATATCAGAAAATCTGTAAGCCTGTGGCGATATACTGTCTCTGTGACGGGGCCCAATATCAGTCAAGCTCTAATATGATCACACTGTTTAGTATGAGTAATGAAAAACAGGAGTATGTGCTACCACTACATGTACAACACGCGGTTCCTAATACAGAGCATGTTGGAGTTCCTACAGACTGTAAAACACAGTGTGAGAGTAGCTGTGCTGGAATGCCTGCAGTAAAAGCGGGTGTATGTTGGGGGCTGGTCTGGCAGGTCAGTGGCCCTGAAGGATAATCACTGGTGAGAGGTGGGGTGAGGTAGATTTTGGCAGGTCACTCCGCTTTGGAAAGGCTGTTCCTGTCCATGAAGTCTTTAAGCTTGGTGGGAAAATCTGTCATAACTCCCGTGGCTCCCAAATCAAACGCCCTCTGAAAGTCATCCTCGTCATTCAGCACCCAAATGTACACCTGAAACCACATGAGGGATTTGTACAGTTAATACACACGCGGTCAGAGGCTGTCACACACAGGAATGTTTCTGTACTCTAGTCTATATTTGATCTGGTAGGAACCTTTCCAGTAACTGCTTTTAACCACAGTGTAACTACAACACACACACACACAGGCTTAGTTCTGGCCTTTTACAAAAGTTTTACACACTGTTGGAGCAAAACAAGCCACACGGAAAGTGGTGACAGTAGTAGTAGCAGTCTTCAGGAACAGTTCTCCCGGCTTCTTGAAGGACATTCAAAGCTCTTCTTTGGATGTTGGCTACCGTTTGCTCTATTCTCTGTCAACATGATCCCACACTGCCATGTTTTACAGATGGCTGTAAACTCTCAGTGTTGTACCTCTTGACCTCCTCCATACATGCACTAGGACTAAACCATGGTTTTTAATGTGGGATTCATGAAACTACCATTTTATCTTGCTTTTCAGTTATTAACCTGTGCAGACATACAAGTGCACAGTACTATAAAAGACCATGGGGATGATGCTGTGTGTAGCTTGAAAGCCAGGAAGCACAAAAAACCCTCAGTTAGCATTGTTTGTGGCTGGCTGGTTGTTTGTGACACTGCCCCCTGGTGACAGTACTCAAGTACAACATACAAACCTGTGCGTAGGCTCTGATTAAGACCAACGCGCAACCATCCCCTTTACGTCAACCAATCTTGGAAATTGTTCCAGGACTGCAAATAAAAACTTGCCAGAAGATGTGCCATCTGCCTATCGCTACCACAGGCTAAGTGACCATAGAGACTGAGACCAAAGAAAAGGAAAAACATGCTACAACAGGAAGACTTTTGTATCCATGTAATCAGGTAAGGAAGTTCCAATGAACCAGCCATCCATTCTAACCTCTAAAACACTTCCATAGCTCCTCATTTACTGGCCAACGGTTCCTCACAGGAACCTGAATCAACTTAATTTTAAAGGAACTGCAGTTTTACCTGAATTCCCCGAGCTGTTAAATGGTCAAAAAGAGCTTTCCTCATCAGCAAACTGCAAGAGAAAAATAAACACTAATCAGCTGAGGTGTGTGACTGTAAATCCTTTCTATGTTAATCGTGATCGCACAGCTACATCTCAGTAACACAGAGAAATACAAAACAAAAAAGCCTAGTGCTGCTGCAGGTTTATCTTTTGTTGAATTTTCTGCTGATTCAACCACAAAAATCAAAGAGATTTTACATTTTTGGAGGAGAAAGCGACTTACGTGTCTGCCAGCCAGGCGATAAATCGCTGACCTCTAGTTAACCTGCTGGGATCCTGCAGTCTGAAAAAATTCACACACAAAAGTAAAATAATTAAAAATGGTAAAAAACAAAAAAAAAAAACAACAAAAACAAAGGGCACTTGATTGATGCTATAACAACATGACAACATATTTTTAGGAAATTTCTGAAATCTACCCAAGAAAATTAATAAATCAGTGTGTTTAAATATGCACAAGAAATCAAGTCAATCTCTTAATAAACACAATTTATGGTTGCAGTCTTAAAGCAAGAACTTCACACTTTAGAAGTGCAATAAAAAAAATTCTGTTAATCCTTAATGAGCGTTGGGGCAAGAATAATCTGCTCTTTGACCATGATCCACTAGCACACATTTCACAAGGCCAAGCTACGCAAACGTTTCTTCTAATGACCTAATTAGTGAGTGAGTTCGTCTTTCAAAGATCATCCTTCAGGCAGATAACAGAGACAGAAAGGACACCAGCGCAGCCAGGGGAGTGAATCTGAGCCAGGTACTGTGAAAAGGCTTTAAAGCCCCAATTCAAAGTTAAAGTATGTTTAAATTATTTTCTTGCCTGAGTAATAAAAGTTATTAAAGTTGGAATCCCCTTTGTCTAAACTTCTGTAATTTGGAGGAAACAACAAACAAGTCCGTATATGTTATCCAAAAACAAGGCCCAGCTAATGAAGACTCCTCCAGAGGTTTACTCCACGTCCTGACGCTTACACAGTAGTGATGGGATTTCCGGCTCTTTTTAGAGAGCCAGCTCTTTCGGTTCGGTTCACTAAAAAGAGCCGGCTCTTTCGGCTCCGAACCGGCTCTTCAGGTTGTTTTGTTGCTTTAATTAATTTATTATTAACAATAATATAAAATTATGCACAAAAGGAATTACTAACGTAAAAAAAAAAAAAAAGTGGTTTTATTTATATATGTTTATATATAAATATATGCGGTGGCCCCTAGAGACAAAACGCGTACAAACTCCAAAACACATTTCTAGCATGAACTGAACTTCCAAAGCAGAGCTACTAGATCACTTAAATTACACAATTGAAAGCATATGTGTATTGTTTGTGTATTTATACACAGGCACTCATATATATTCAAATAATTTAAAAAAAAGTTCATTTACCTGTTACTACCACACACCAAATCCGGTCGTTGGTACTTGCTGGCTTGTGTAGCCACAAGATAACAAGAGCGCAACACTGCGCCCAGCATCCTGGAGCACTTCTGTTGTCTTTTGTACGTGTTTTGAGTTTTTATGTTCTTCTGAGTTTTTACATGCTTCGGAGTTTGTACGTGTTTTTACGTGTTTTGGAGTTTTTATGTGTTTTGGAGTTTGTACGTGCTTCAGAGTTCGTATGTGATTTGAAGTTTGTATGTGCTTTGTCTGTAGGGGCCACCGTAAATATACTTTTATTTATTCACTCCACATAAAATTTAATAAATAAATCATATAATACAAAAATCAACTATTCACATTTCAAGTCAAAGGAGCTTGCAAAGAAAAGCGTGTGGACTTCTTTAAGTTACTTGAAGACGTTTCACCTCTCATCCGAGAAGCTTCTTCAGTTCTAAGGTCAAATGGTGGAGAGTCCCGGATATAAAGCTAGTGGGAGTAACCCCCACAGAGGGACAAAAGGACCCCCTGATGATCCTCTAATCGCCTGAGCCAAGGTGTGAAACTGGGTGTGGGTCCCAATCAGTCAGAGTTTCGGGTGAGTTCATTGTGAAACCTGGCCCCACCTTATCATGCGAATTCCTGAGATCAGATGGTCCTTCACACCTTGGCTCATTTAAATTTTCAGCTTTTTCCTTTTACAAATTTAAAGTGAAAACAACACAAAACACTGCAAACCACAACACAATTAAATATAAATTATAATATGAAAACAAAAAGAACATGCATATTCTCTGCATGCATAATAGTTGACTTTATTAATCCCAAAGGAAATTAGGGTTACAGCAGGCAGCACGCTAATGGCGCATGCGCACTTACAAAGGAACCTTCTGACCAACTTTACACAAACATCACATTGGGGAGACATGTCAGAAAGGTAGACTGATAGGAAAAAAACAACGAAAATACATAACATGAGGTAAGAGGAGGAGAAAAAAAACTCCACTCAGACTGAGCTCCTAGTGGGAGAACAGTTTGATAACAGAAAAAACACCTCAGCACAAAAGCACATGACTATCAATACACCATAGAAACACAAGACAAGCAACAGGGGCGGGTAAAGGGTAAGAGAGAGCCGGTGTAGACAGCGCATCCGGTCCTGCAGCGTGTCTGCGCTGGTCCAGTCGACTGCCATCTTCCCCGGTAGGGCACAAGCATCGAAGGCGTTTGGAAAGGGAGGGGGGATCAGTGTGTGCATATCAGTGTGTGTGTGTTTGTGTGTGTGTGTGTCTCTCCAGAGTTCAGCTGAGACAGTGTCCTTCGCCCCGCCAGGCTAAGTAAACAGTCTTCCAGCCAACCCAGGTGGCCTTGTATGGAATGGGGGGAACAGTCTAAACACAGTCGTTATCAGAATTCCTCTTTTAGGTTTTAGAGAACAGACTGTGAGAGAGTGTTCCAGGGAAAAGTAAGTAAAAACACAAGACAAGACAAGGACATAAGAAGCTAAGCAGGGAAGATAAGGGCAGGAGAGGAGAAAAGTGCGACCGCCTTCGCTGAGAGCCAAAAGAGTAAAAAAAGTTTAAAAAAATAATAATAATTTTATTTAAAAAAAAAAATATATATATATATATATGAACATAACTAATCTTGAAATGACTGTTCAGCACAGAAATGAAGCCCAGCAATCATGTTTTACAGTCCCGTGGTCTCAGCCTCAGATACTCAACTAATCAAAGTGATGTCATGACAAGAATGAATGACCAACAAAACATTTTTTCTCCATCATTTCTGTCACATAAAGCTGAATATAACGTCTCTCGCGGTTAGTATCATGGTTGCTAGGCAACCTGAACAGCGCAACGGAGGCTAGACCGTCCCATTTCACAGGCCTCTCACTTCCGCACTTCTCGTACTTGTAGTACGCACCGTACGTAGTGCGCGTACTTCAAGCGTGCAGACCCTGAATTGGGACACAGCCAACGATAATCATCAAGGTCAATAAAGAACCTTTAACTTGTTGCAAGTCAGACAGCGACATTTCAGTTTCACCTGCAAACTGAGATCAAACCACAGCGCTGACAACTTTCTCCAGCCAATAAACCAGCAGCAGCTAAAACACAATGCTGCCAGATTTTACACTACTAATTATTAATAGTTTGTGTTGACACTGCAGCATAGATGACTTTAATCATTTATGTTAACTAAACTGTAGGTTAGTTAGGGTAAAAAGAAAACCTTAACCCTGCTCTGTTATTTCATGTAGGGCTTGTTTTGTGACTGTATTAGTGAGGGTGGAAGCATGCTGCTGAGCTAACCCTTTCCTGAAAACTGTTTATCAAAGTTCCTGACATGCACCTTTTACTTCTTTAGTACCACATTCCCTGGCCACTTTATTAGGCACACCTTGCTAGTATTTGGTAGGCCTCCCTGTTTCCTTCAGAACTACCTTAATTCTTTATGTCATAGATTCAACAAGGTCATGTAAACGACCCTCAGATAGCATCCCATGGCAGCAGCAGATTTGTCGGCTGCACATCCATACTGAGAATTTTTCGTTCCACCACATCTCAAAGATGCTCTGCCGGACTGAGATCTGATGACTGTGGAGGCCGTCTGAGAGCAGAGAACTAACTGCCAAGTTCAAGAAGTTTGAGATAATCTGAGCTTTGCATTATACTGCTTATACTGTTATACTGTCACATGATTGGCAGCAAATCACTGCATCAGAACAGGTGTACCTAATAAAGTGTCCATAGAGCTTATTACTAGTATTTGGTTACATGAACAACAAAGTGCAAGTGATTTGGGTGCGTGACTGTGTGTGAAGGAAACTCAAATATATTTCTATTTGCTCACTGTAGTGGATGCAAATCCACCTCCCTGTGTGCTCACTGCCCTGTCAGAATACCAAACAGCCTCTCAACTGTCATCAGTCCAGAGCGTAGAGAGACTTATTCGAATGTCAGCAGGTCTTCTTGATGATTTCTACATGCATTCAGTTGGTGTAATGTGTTTGGATGATTAGATATTTGTATTAACAGGCATACCTAATAAAGTGGCCTTTGAGCTTATTTGTATTGCACTTACTTGGTGATAATGGAGGGCATGGGGATCTCCAGGAACTGCTCCTTGATTGGAACAAAGGGCAGGAGGCCGGTGTAGAACAGGCCTAACAGCTGCAACACTCTGGGCAAGCTGAACAACACTGGAATATGAGGGTTCTGCAAAAACAACCAACCAGACCAGACTTACAAGCAGTTCCAAGTCATTTTTATTCACCGAAGAGGATGATGATGGAGTATGATGATAAAAGTGTTTCCTCTAAAACTCCCTCAAAGGGTCTGAACATTTTTAGAAACATGACAAAAAGATGAATAGTGATTCCACAAAGAAGTGCATTTAAAATACTGCTATATGGGACAGATTTAGCACTTTTCCTGTAGGCCTGCTGGTAGCAGGTTATTCCTTTGTTGTTATGAAATTCTGTAATTTCATAACAACAAATTTTATAAATAGCTACACACATTTCACCAAAGTAATGTGAAGCAGCATATAAACGTACCTCTTTGTAGCACTTTCTCACAATCTGGTTGCTGGCGTTGCCCCAGACAGTCAGATGCGCTCGGTCATACTTCACGACCAGCTCGGAGACCTGCAAGGATTGAAAACTCAATGAAACTATGAAACAGAACATTTTCTCTTGCTTTTGCTCTGTCCTGTTGCCAATATTTAAAACTTAGAATTAGTTTTTTGATGAAAAGACGGCGGCAAAACTCGTAAAGTCTCTAGACGGACACTTGGAGGGCAGAGTCCCAATAACAAGGCCAACGTCCTCTTAAATTAGATCAGTTCAGGATCTGAACAGGTTATTCCTCTGTCTACATTTTCTCCCCTCTTCATCAGGTTTGTACTGTTACTTTATGCATGATTGTGGTGACAGACAAATAAAAGGGACTTAAAAACATATCTCAGTCTTGGTTATCTAACCATCGTACTTTAGGAAATGCTTCACTTTCCTTTCCTTTACTAGGCACCATGGGCTTTGTAACTACGGAGGACTTTTTTTTTCTTAAACAGGCTGTTAAGTCGATACATTTTCGGACAAGGGTACATTTTTTTTAGTTGTCATCACAGCTTATTTTAAATCAAGATATGATTGAAGCGGCGACTTCAGCCCTAATTCAGGAGTCTTAACAAAAGCATTGCATTAACTCATTACTCCCTGAAAGCCCACTAGAAGTAATCCTTGAAGCTCTTCTCTGTCACATTGCAGGCCTGCTTCCAGCACAAAATGACTGGGTGTGCATCTTGGAAAAACCTTGAAATTATTCTAATTAATGTGAAAAACACGTTTTTCTTAATACATAATAGGTGGCAAAACCCATCATTAGTGTACAGGGGAGGCCAAATTTCATCTTTATGGGAGAAAGAGTTCACCGTTTGGAATTATAGCCATTTTTAAACACTGCCTTCTTCAGTAGCCTAAAAGTAAGTGAACAGGTGATGAGATGTCCCTCGTGATTCCACAAGAGACACAAAATCTGCATTTGAGTCCAAGTGCTGAACTTGCAAAAAGTATGAAGAAGGAAAGAACAACTCAAGGACGGCGGAGGTAGTGTTATGGCTCCCAGTGAAATCGGGTCACTGGTGTTTATTGATGACGTAATGGCTGAGAGCAGCAGCATGATGAACTGTAAAATGTACAGGCATGTACTCTTTTCTCAGATTCAGCCTGAGGCTCCAAAACTGATCGGTTAGTGTTTCACAGTACAAAGTGATAATGACGTAAAGCATCCTGTAAAAGCTAACCAAGAGTTTCTCAATGAAAAGAAATTAGATATTCTTTAAAGTCAGTGACCTGATCCCAACTCAAAGGTGCCTGTTTTTCAATAACCAAAGACAACAGTGACAGAAGACCCACAGACAGGCAGCAACTGAAGGCAGAGGCAGTAAAGGCCTAGAAGAGCATTTTAAGGGACAAAACACAGCATTTGGTGATGTTTATGGGTTCTGGACTCCAGGCAGTCACTGACTGAAGTATTAAAACAATCTAAAATGATGTTAGTTTGTCCAGTTCATTTTGAGCCACTGAAAATCAACTATGTATAAAAATGGCTGCAATTCCTAAAATGTTTTAATACAAATTTTTCCAAAAAACACGAATTAAAACTGCAGTTTGATCTAAAAATCCACTAAAGTGACGTATAGAGGCAACACTACAAAAATGGTGTCACTGTCCAAAAAGCTATAAGGCTAACTGTACACTGTTTCCTGCACAAGGAAATAACCACAAGCTGCATGTCATCAATACAGTAAAGCAAGTTTCAGTCAGGGGTCAGAGAACTGAAAGAATAAAAACAGGAGATACACACACAGACAAACACACACACAGACAAACACACACACACACACCTTCTTGATGAGCGTGTCATTGTTAACCTTGATGTCAATGTTAACAGGAGTGTTGGGAAATGCGTCAAACACGTCCCTGAGGAGAGGGATGCGTTTGTCCTCTCCTCCTTCGCAGAAGCACTCTGCACAGACAAGGACAGGTTAAAAACACCATCAGCTTCAGATTAGACGCCGGGTTGTGCGCACTTGTATTTTTAGCGGTAATTTTCTGCCCGTCAGCTGTCAACTGTTATAACCTAAAATGTCGATTTGTGTCACCTATTGAATAAATACGTTGCTTCGTGGTAATTACACAAGTGACGGATACGTGATGCTCACCTCGCTGAAAGGTTACACCCAGCCTGCAGAGGTATGGAGGGAGTTCCTGCAAAGAAAGCACGACAGACACAACTTCAGAGCTTCTGGAAACAAAGCAGTCATGCTCAAAATAAATCCAGGATTTCTGATATAGTTTTCTCTAGAGCAGCCATTCCCAAACTTAAGACTTCCGAGGTCAGCTGTGAAATCTGAAAATCCTCTGCAGACAAACCTTTAAATCTGACCATTGCACAAGTCACTAAAATGTGTTTTTATTTATGGCAGGAACAACTGTTTCCTGTTCCATCAAAGCAAATGATGACAATAATTTGTTTGAGTATACTGGGTGTTTTTTTATTGTCTTTGTAGGGATTTCAGAAATGTTGTTCATGCATATTAACTGAAAGATTTTTTAAGAACAAGAATAAAAAGAGTCAATAAGAATGTTAATAAATGTTTAAAATAATACTCTGGCCAATAACTGAAGCCCATATTTTAGTGTCTTGTTGTTTTAAATATATATTGATTTCTTTGTTACCTCTTTTGTGCAGGAGAAACAGAGAAATATTCTTTATATAAGACAACTTCAATCTTACCTCCACCTTCTTTTTCATTTGTTTAAGCACAGATTGATGTGATTTATATATACTGTAAAGTAACACACCATATAAACCACTGACACTGGTGTTTTTCATTTTATTTGCCAACAGCCAGCCATCAGTCAGGAAGGCTGGTATCATTGTTTAGATGAGATCAGTAAAGATAAGAAGTACTTTATTTATTCCATATATGGGAAATACTCTTAGGATCACTGTATCTGGATATTTATGCTGATTTATAAGTTCTACTCCTTCAAGAGTACTAGCCACTAAAGTTCATGAGTCTAACCTTACTGGACACCAAGGTCTGTGCTTATGTCTACAACAAGGCCAAAGACCATTAAAACCCACTAAGCCTCATCTTCAGTTCCAAAATATAAAATTTAACTTGTAGATGGGATCTCTGACCCAAGAACCTCTACAAACACACAAAAATACTTCAGTTTAATGTTGTAAGGCTTCTTTGCAAGACAAAAGCATTTTTTTTTCCAATAAGCATTAAATGTGTAGACTACCAAATGTTTAAAGAGGAGAGCAGAGCTTAGCCAAAATCCTAAGTTACTCACAAGGAATGTAGCTGGATAAGAGTTTTTTAAAATCACGTGACGTAATCAGATGACTTGTTTTTGACCTCCCCTGATCAAGGCGCATGATCCATCAAAGCTCATATCATGTCTAAACACAAACCACATTCACAGTTGTGGTCAGACGTTTCAACCCAATCATGATGAGCATGAGTGTCATGATGATTTGGGGCTTTTAATGATTCCTTTCAACTGTTGTTTTTCCAGGGTGGAATGATCTTTAATGACTTTTAAAAACAACTGAATTTATGTAAATTTTGTTTGAATTCTCAATGAATAAATAAATAAATAAATAAAAATTAGTTCACGACACTTCTGTCTGACCGAGCTCTTTGCCATATATGTAAAATTAAAATTCAGTGTTATATTTGTAATTTTTTTCATGCAAAGAATTAAACATGCACAGCGCTTGATCAATGATGAGAAGAGATTTGAAAGTGGCTTCAGTTCAAACTTACAGCGTAGGTCACATCGGAGATGTTGGTGTCGATGCCGCAGGTCCTCTGCAAATCGCCATCATGTGAAACCACTACCTGTTCATCTTTTGTCAGGTGGCAGTCCAGCTCCAGCATATCTGTGCCGACATCCACAGCGCTGCACGATCCGACACACAGTACGCATATAGACTCAGCCGCAATCTCAAGCACACAAGCATTAGCATTGAAATTTGGACCCTAACCATGCAGTATAGCACACACAGATTCAATAAATGCATAAAACAGTCCACCTCTTGTCTGATTAACTAATCAAACAAAGGAGAACCACAAGGTTATCTTTTACACGAACAGTTACTGTACATATTGCACCAATTCACAAGCTCGATTGTGGGTAAAAGAACTAAGACAACATCTCAGATGACACACACCGTCCACAGTCACAAGTGCAAATCCCAAAGAAAGAGCTGTGTCTTATGACTTTGAAGTTTCTACTCACTGCTTGAAAGCCATCATAGTGTTTTCCAGATTTTCACCTGCCCCTGAAATCGGAAAAATAAAAACTCAGATTTCTTTTTACCTGCTTTGCTGTGAAACACATGTCTGAAAGAGTGCCTTCACTCCAGATGTGGGCATAACAAGTATCTTCTCGGGGGGCGGGGGGTTTCTGATATTTTGCTTGTGGTTCATCTGTAAGTTTTTCTAATTTTTATCTTTAACTCATTTCTGCAACTACTGCCCAGTAACAAATAGATGGTTATAGGATCAAAACTATAGAAGAGAAATGTGACAGTCAAAACCCTGAATAACAAACCTGTTTTTACCCGTGAGTAAGTAACTAGCTGTTAGTGGGACCTAAAAGAAGCAAAGTAAGTTGGGATTAAGTGGCACCTTTTACCTTTTAAGTCAAGGGCTGTTCTTAAGAAAGAAAACTGGTGACCTACCTCCACGGTGAGAAATGTGCTTGCTGACAAAAGTCTCTCGCTTCTTTCGATGTAACAGATTTGGGCATTTTAGCAGCAGGGCAGAGGTGAGCACGTAGCCCGTTACCGTTGACAGGACATACACAGCAGCACACATCTTCTATCAGTCCCCTGCAGAACAAACACCAGACATTTAGCAGTGGCTGTGTCTGTCAGATAAATGTGTGGGGTTTTTTGTGTGTTTTTTTTAATGCAGATACATTTTTCCCACTCACCAAACGTTTTTAATCACAAACACTGAACAAAAACAAACCTATTTTCTTCATATTTTGCAAGGATAACAGGAAATAGGTCAAGTGAATTATTGATACATGAAGAGATTAACACACTTTAACACAGCCTGGATTTTCTTTAGCAAGTTTTCTTATAATTTGCTTAGTAGTCTTCAGGAACAGTTCTCCAGGATATTCAAAGCCTTTCCTCTGATTTTTTAGTTCTTGTTTTTAAGGACACACAGCACACTGTGCCAACATATACCAACTTTTCACTATTTCAGAATCATTTTGCCGGTGCCCATGTCTGCGCTTGTCAAACTATGTTATCGTTGGATTCAGCTACAGAAATGAGAGGGAAAAATGTGTTTTCATACAGGCTGCTGGTAACAAAATACCTAAAGATACTATTTAAAAAGGGTTCTTTGCAAAGTTGCCTGCTTTCTGTAAACACAGCAGTAGTTAATCCCTTGAGTTAGGTGCCTTTTGAATGACTAGAATGACTCGTAGGTCAGTGTTAAGTACCTGAAGAAAAGAAACCATTTCTCTAAAAATTACCAGGTTCATGGACTGAACAGAAAATGAGTGAAAAAGCAGCCGATGTCAAACAAAAAACTTTGAAAGACCTTCAGAAAGCCGGGAGAACTATTGCTTAAGACAAATTCTTTAAAAATTACAAGAAAGTATGGCTCCCTGGAAGCACAGTATAATTGGGGTGACTCAGGTCTTTTGCACAGTACTGTATAATCTACATTTTTGTTTATCAAATACTAAGAAAAGGAAAGGCAGGAAAACACAGATCTCAGACAAATAATGTTCAAACTGAACATTTGAACTCTACATGGACCATTGTTGAGTATGTCACTAATATCTCCAGCTGAGCAATTCTTAAAATAAATTCCATAAATGTACAAATGTGAGGTCCTAAAATGCAAGTTTTGTCTTAATAACATGTGAAATCTCAAAACACTGTTCAGCTAAAGCTAGTTAATACTGATTAGGAATTAAAGGAATTGAAAATATGCCCTCTCACTAAAAAATGTTTGCATCACTTAAATTTTTGAGTTTAAGTTAAAAGAAAGAAAGAAAACAGGAAAACAGTAAACAAGACACAACAAAATTAGACCAAAACATGAACCCAAATACACAAACGAAACAGAGTTACAGCAAGTTACTTACAGCACGCTTCCTTACAAGCTCAAAAAAACAAACCAAAAAACACCCTTGGCTGAGCATGAGCTCCTATTTAAATGACAAAACAACACATGCTGCAGGTCAGGCCCACAAAAAAAGGCTGGGCGGAGACATCGTCAGCCTACATAGTCAAAGAAAGTCTGTATATTTACATTTTAAAAGTTAAAAACATTGTAAACAAAACTGACACAAATAAAACATATATCCAAAATTTTTTCCATTTTCATATATTCAGTTCAATTCAATTTTATTTATATATAGTGCCAAATCAAAACAGCAGTTGTCATGACGTGCTTTATATTATAAGGCAAAGACTTCACAATCAAACAACCGCCTTTGAGCAAGAACTTGGCAACAGCGGGAAGGAAAAACTGCCTTTTAATAGGAAGAAACTTCCAGCACAACCAGGCTCAGGGATGAGCAGCCATCTGCTTCGACTGGTGGGTGTGTTGGCAGGAAAACAGAACAAAAAACACATATTTACGTGAAATTGACTAATGAAAAGCAAGTAAGACTCTTTACAGTTTTGCAAATTCAAAAGAAGCATTTTCAGTCATGAGCCAGACTTTTCAGGCTGAGAAATCACCCGCTAGAGAAAATGCTGGTTTAGACACTTTGGGCAAACATGACCTATACCCACCAAAGGCAAAGTTGAACTGACTGAGGTGCTGGTGTATTGAGCCATTCCTATATTGCTCTGATTATCTTACTCCAAAAGGGCAAGTTCACATTTTACATGGATAAAGGTACCTTCATGCCTTTTACATTTCCAGCACAGAATACATCTTCCATTAAACCTATTTTATAAAGACGAATAGATATAAAGAAGTAGCAATGAAGTACCTTATACTGTCAAATGTGTTACAAATTTACTATTACATGGTACTCTATCCCAAAAACTGAAATACTTTATAATTTCAGTTGAGAAAAGCAGTGCAAGTGAATAACTGATCCAAGGACAAAAGAATTAACATCTAAGAAATGATGAAGGATTCAGCACATATCAAAAGCGTTTCTTAAATAAAAAGACAAAATATAGCGATGTGATGCATATGCTGGGAGCCCACCCACAGAAAATGGGAATTAAAAATGCCTTCACATATTTTTATCAGAAAAATCTAGCTCCAAAAGATAAGAGATCTACCAGAACAGCAGCTCCACATATAGGAGAAAGAGAAATGCTTGTTTACTTTTTGTTGCAACCTCTAATTTCTTGTTCAAGTCAAAGTTGACGCTGCTGTCATATTTTCAACATTGGAAATCCTGTTAAGTAACAGATAACAACAATGACATTCATTATCTCTAAAACCAGCTTACTGCACACCAGCTAAACTGTGCTAACGTTAGCTGTGAAAGGGGCGAGCTAACAACATGACCCTCTTACCTTTGTCATCAAATTGTTCGGACTGTTGTTCTTAGTTGTGTTAAATAAGTTAGCGATGTCCACGTGTGTGTGAAGCGAGTTCGATAAAGTGATGAACTAGCGTCTCGTCTGCAGTCTCACTGAGCTTGGAAAAAAACAAAACACCACCACTAGCCGGCCACTTTGTCGTGCCCATGCGCACTTTGCTACTTCCGGCTTGGGGACTATTTTCACTTCCTCTCGGATATTTCAAAATAAAATTGAAACGTCACGAAGAAAAGTCCACTGTTTTTGTTTGTTTTTTTTTATTTTGTTATCATCAAACCTAAGTATTAGTTGACACTATTTTTAAACAAAATGTCTTAGATTCACTGTTTTAAAAGCTATTATTGCTTATGAAAAAAGAAGTGTATGGTAGCAAATATTAAAAATAAGAGGGACATACAGAGCTGTAGTAACTACAGAGGGATCAAACTGGTACTATGAAGATATAATCAAAAATATGTCTGAAGCTAGGTTACAAAAAGAAGTGACAATCAGGTGACAGCGGTATGGCTTCATGCTGAGAAAGCACACTACTTATGAGATGTATGCTTAAAGAGTGTTGATGGGGAAGTACAGAGAAGGTCAGAGGGAGGTCTACTGTGTCTTTGTGGGTCTAAAGAAGGCATATGATAGGGTACTAGGAGAGGAAATGTGGTACTGCACGAGGAAGTCAAGAGTGGCAGAAAAGCATGTGAGGGTGGTGTGGCAAATGAATGAGGGCAACAAGACAATGGTGAGGTTTGTGGTAGGAGTGACAGATGGGTTGAAGACAGGGATAGGATTACATCAGGCTATTCTTGTTTGCAGTGGTGATGGACAGGTTGGCACATGAGGTCTGGCTGGGGTTTCTGTGGCGTATGATGTTTGCAGACGACATGGTGATATGTAGTGAGAGTAGGGAAGAGGTGAAAAAGAGCCTGAAGAGGTGGAGGTATGCTCTGCAGAGAAGAAAAATGAAGGAAGGCAGAAGAAGAAATTAAGGCTTTGCACACAGCAGAACACCTGTTTCCTTATTTATTGCATTGTATGATTAGAAAGATTTCAAACCCACTGACCCAGTTAACTGAAATGTGTCACATACAGTATATACAATATACAAAATTTTAAAAAGTTCATGCAGAGTGTAAAAGCAGAGTGTTAATGTCACCTCCTGTTTTGGGGAGTTGTACATGCTCAATACCACTGTAGCTCAGACTAGACACACCGTGATTCATTTGCTTAAAGTGGCTGGGAATTGGACTTCTGATCATGATTTCTCATGGAACAATGTTTCTTCCTTTCATTTACATGCATGAATTACCAGTGATGGGAATAATGGCGTTACAAGTAACGGCGTTACTTTTTTCAGTAACGAGTAATCTAACTAATTACTATTCCTATCGTTACGCCTTTACCGTTACAAGAAAATATTTTTCAGCAAACAGATGGTTGAAGCTGTCTTCAGCTTACTGCTTCTTAGTTGTTCCATTGCTAGTTCCTCAGTTGCTACTTCCGTGCAACTGAGGCAATTCAACTGAGTTCAATTCAATTTTATTTATATAGTGCCAAATCAAAACAGCAGTTGTCATGAGGTGCTTTATATTATAAGGCAAAGACTCCACAATCAAACAACCGCCTTTGAGCAAGAACTTGGCAACAGCTTTAAGCAGCTCCCGCAGGGAGCCCGACGATCTGCCCGACGATCACTTTTTGGCACAACACCTGGAGCTAATGGGGCAAAACAATCGCATGGGTGCTGCTGTTTGACTGAGGAAGAATAAAGTAGTCGTGGTAAGCCAATCACACGACCACTTCAAGATGACAAACCAATAAGGTGATATATGCTAGCTTTTAAATTGTGTCGATAGGCCACGTAAAACTAGAGTCATGATAAACAATATATACGCGGCGTTTTTTCCTCAATAATTTTGTCACGTTTACTGTCTAAGGACAGCGCTAGCAATCACTCTCTGCTTATGAGCAAAAAATAATAAAACAAAACAAAAAAACAGCCCGTTCGTGTCGACCAATCAAAAAAAATGATACAACATCACATTTGGTTGTTTAGGAAGAGGGGGAAGTTTTAGGCATGATGGCCAGAGAGAGAGAGAGAGCAGAAAAAGAGAGAGAGCGAGTTTTGAGATGTGTGAGATTTGTGACGTTTAGTGTGTTTAGAGTGTGTAGTTAATGTTTTGTCTTGTGTAGTTAGTGTGTAGTGTTGTGGATAGTTTTGTGTTGTGTGTCAGAACAATGAGGCGACTGTTGAATGAAAACAGGAGTGATACTGCTGCTGCTGTCAGACCTGCAGGTATCAGGCTGTGATGTTCTTTATAGTGGACAGAAATTATTTTTTTGGAGTGGCACAAATAATATGTGTGGCATCTTATTGAATGCAGAACAGCTGATTGTTATATAGATAGTTTGAAATGGTTATTTTTTTTAAAAGGTAAAAGATAAATGGCTGCAAGTAACTTTGTTTGCAAAACTTGTACATATGATTTTAAAATTGACAATTTATATTTGCATTTAAAGTTATGAAATATGATTCACTAAACATGTGTGTGGTTATTACAGTAAAAAAATATAACCTTTTCTACTCTGGTTTTATGTTTTTTGTCTGATTTTAGATCAATTGTGTTAATACGGTGTGTCAAAATGAAAACATGACTGTAAATTCAGACACGTGAGGTTGTGCTGAAAAGAATGATACCAAACAAGGCAAATAAACTGTTTTTAAAGGTGAAATGTAGAAGTCAAATCAAAAGTAGTTAAAAATGGCCAGTTACACCCTGGACTCCAGAGGGTTAAACATTTTTCTTTAAAGTAACACAATAGTTACTTTTCAAGTAATTAATTACTTTTAGAATATTGTAACTCAGTTACTTTTTTTTGAAGAAGTAACTAGTAACTATAATTAATTACTTTTTCAAAGTAACTTGCCCAACACTGTGAATTACAGGGATATGGGTAAACATGCATGGATTTAAGGTAGTAAATGTAGATGAGTTTAAATTCCAGGGGTCAACCATCCAAAGCAACTAGCACAGTGCACAAAAGAGGAGTAAAAGAGAGTGCAGGCAGAGTGGATGAAGGGGTTAGGGTTGATTTGCGTCAGAAGGATGCAAGAGTGAAAGGGAAGGTTTACAAGATGGTAGTGAGACCATCTGCTATGATGTATAGTTTGGAGACAGTGGCACAACTAAAATGACAGGAGGAAGACCCAGGATGGACAAGAGTAGTAATGAGTAGATCAGGACAGCTCAGGTTGATTAATTTGAAGAAAAGGTTTGAGAGGCTCGGCTGAGATGCTTTGGACATGTGCAGAGAAGGGATGGTAGATATATTGGACAAAGGATGCTGATGAAGCCACCAGTCAGGAAGAAGACCACAGAGAAGATTCATGGATCTAGTAAAGAAGGGCACACAGAGGGATCGTAGTGATACGGTGAGATGGAGGCATGATTCTGTGTGGCGAACCCTAAAGGCAGCAGCCAAGAAAGAAGAAGATTATTCAAAAATACAACTTATGTCACAATAAAATTACACAAGTATGGCTTGCAGTAGTCCAATACAATCCACTAGATGCTGCTAACATGTAGCAATATAAGTGTGTTAAATAGCATGGAGCTGGATGTACTATGGCAAAAGTGAAGACTGCAATGCAGTTAACAATGACCTGCCACCTTAAGCTCTGCAGGTGATAAATTAACACTGTGATAAAAAGAGATTAATGTCCAAGACAAAATCTTGCACATTTGTACCAGTCAAAGTTCACTTTATGCAATCAACTGCACATGGAGACGTGATC